CAAACAATCTTCTGTACAGGTGGTCAACAGTCCTAATGGTTAGCTCCTTCTTGTATTTTGTTCTTTGTCTAAATATCTTTAATATGTATGTGCACGCCAAATGTTATGTCATTCAACAACATATCTTGGAATAAGAAACACACAAACAGCCAGGGATGAGTTTCAGACACAAACATAGTCAGCCTAAACCACTGATGCACTCTGTGAGTACTTACACACACTAAGATTTTTTCTCATAGTCCACTGCACAGCTCCTACATTACACCTTTTGTACATTTTGTTTTTTCTATATTTACATTATTTAATTCTATTTATATATTGTAATATCTTCTTATACTGTATTATTTAAGTTGTTGCTAGTTCTGCTTTATTTCCTTGTTAATTGTTTAGCACCAATACACCAAGACAAATTCCTTGTTTGTGTAAATGTACTTAACAATAAACCCAGATTCTGATGCTGATTAACAGTGCGTGTGTGTGTGTGTGTGTGTCTTACTATTAGTGTGACCATTATGAGGACCAAGGTGCTGCGCAGGTAAGAGTGTCTAAACTGTTTAGGTTTACAGTTTGGATCATTGACAATGTCCAGAATCAGCTCCTCCTGTAAACATAAAAAGACACACAAGTCTTAACTCTTTAGGGGGTTCGGGTTGAAAATAAGAAAATCATATTGACACAATATAAACTTCACAACAGTTTTTTTTTTAAAATCAGTACCTCCTCCTCACACCAGTCATAGACCTTCCACTGACACACATGACCAGCCCGGTGTCTCTTCCACAGCTCCAGGAACAGAGTGGCTAAAACACATACATTTAATTACAATATATATTATACATACACACTAAGTCAGATTATGCTGAGGTCTATTATTATAGATGAATACATGTTTGCATTAATATAGATCAGACACACACCCCAGATGGCCATGAACATGGCAAAGGCGACTGTCCCCTCGTTATCAAAAAGATGGCTGACCTGAAACACATCCATAATAAGTCAGTAAACACAAAGCAAAGTCATCAGTAATATAATAATAATAATAATAATAATATATAATGGGGGGGGGGGGCTGCTAGGGGATTTATTTCAAACACAGTATGGATATGTCAGAGATTATCAACAACTTGATGAAAACGTCCCCCAACATATATTATACAGAAAACTGACAACTGTGACATCATGTCATCAAACTGACATTTAAAGGGTTAAAATCCTAAAAAATAATGTCATGTTTGATAGCTTTGACCAGGACTGAAGTTGATTAAAAGATTCAAAGCAAAAAGGGAAACAAATATTTTTTCTATTTTATCTTTAGAGCAGTTTTAGGGAGCGGACAGTTTTGTCCACGAGTGTCTCAAGAGGGTGGCAAATTTGTACCCAGTGTATTAAAGATCTATTCTAAAAAATGAAATTAGAATTTCAAAATATATATAGTAAAAAATCTTCCAAGAAAAAAGCATGCCATATGATCTAACACAGCCAAAATAAATAGCAAATGAAAGTGAAACATTCACCCTTTTGGATGACAATGGCCCACGTGATACCGGAGGGTTAAACGTCAATTTTGCCATTTAGCTTTTACATCTGCAGTCCTTTGCCCCGTCACTTACACTTTAAACTAGTCTGTGTGATGAACAGATCAAAGTGATGGATCATCATACATTCACACTGTGACATGGAGAGTAGGGGGGAGCTCACCTTAGCATAGGTACAGGTGTCTGACAGCTGCCACACTGTACACCTCTTATCACACCGAGGACACATGATGACACTGGAATTACACACCTCCTTACTGTGGACACACACACACACACACACACACATTGAAATGGTCCCTGACTTTACACTCAGAGCTGCCATCACCATATGGTTACTGATGAGAGTCATCCTCTCTGTGAACAGGGTGAGAGTAGTGAGAACAAATCATCAGACTCACATGAGAGGGTTTGTGTTGAAGAAGGCGAGACCGTATAGAAACACTACCACTCCCAGAGCAGCAGCAGGAACCAGCAGCTTGGTGTACCAGCCCAGCCACAGGTAGTACAGCGCCACCTTCTCTCCAAAGTAAGACCTTCAGGCAGAAGCACAGAGGTACAGGACACACACACCCACCCACACACACACACACGAATACAAAGTAATCAGACACCTGAAGTTTTCCATAAAGTTAGTTCATTCATGTTTAATAGGATCTACATGATATTAAAGTTTTTTTTTTATTGTAGGTCAGATGAGACCAAAACTGAACTTTTTGAAAATCATCCCTAGTTTAATGTTTTATTAACCACATGTTGACATAAAGAGGATATCTGAGTGTGTCACTTATCTATAGTTACCGATAGAGCTAGAAGAAAAAACACCCTGAATAAAACTTCATAAGGAACATGCTCTGTCCAAACTTAAGACATAAAGCTTGTTCATGTTTGAGCTCAAAGCTGTACCTGAAGCTGAGGTCACTCTTCCATGTGATTCATGTTGTTAAATACAGAAAGAACATTTCTATGATGTGCATCACTTCTGCTCTGACAAGGAGCTGCATGAAACAAAGTCCATCTATCGTTAGAGAGAGTGTGTGTTTCAGACACAGAGCCAGACCCGCCCCCTAATATAATCTGCTCAGTTTTGTGATTTCATGGGACAACTTCACAGAATTACCAGGAAGTTGGTTGACACTTGAGTCAATGTGGTCAGTCAAAATGCTTTTAAATTAAACTGGATTAGACTAAAAAAAAAAGTTGGGTGCTTCCCTTAGTGCCCCTGATGAGTTGATTTCTGAGATACAGTCATCTCTTTAACAGAGCAGGTTTTTGTTTTCCAGTGAATGCAGTGCACTTCCGTACATTTTGAACATCCTTAACAATAGAGCAGTAACTGTGATCACAGTAATATGATGTAAAGTAGAGCATTCTGGTATACAACTGCAACGTATCCCCTTAAAGGTCCCATATTCTGTTTTTTCTGGTTTTATATACTCTTTAGTGTGTTTTCCAAGTGTCCTGTGCATGTTCAGGCACATCTATGTGCAAAAATTCAAAGTCCGCGGAAACGCGGCTTCTCCTACGTCCTCCTGTTAGCTGTAGCATTAGCTGCATGTAACGCTCAGTTCTAGCCCCCCTCGATAAAAATTTGTCAGTCCGACGTCATTGTCAGTGTGAGATCACTGATCTAAGCCCATTGGCTCGTTGTGGCAAGCCCTGCAGCTCATGTTGAAATTTCTGAGACGCATGCTGAGCAACTGACCAATGACAGACTCAGAGCGGAGAGGGAGCAAGGAGGAGCAGTACATGAAAACAGACACTTTTTTCAAACTTTAGCTATTGTGAACGTACAAAAGTAGGTACATAGATTAAATATATGAACCCCAAAAAGGGCAGAATATGGGATCTTTAACAAAACAGACACAGGTACTGACTTGACTTCACTGACTGGCTGTCCCACAAACAGACCGGACCATCGAGCCCATTTCTCCTGCAGGTGTTTCTGCTTCTTCCTCTATAAAATATGAGAAATAAAACATACAGATGTCAGGTTTTCATCCTGTGTGCCATTAAACTGAACACATTTAATATCAGTATCACATTTGATCAAATCTAGTCCTTAAAGGCTTTATATGTGATTTTTTTTTTTGAACCAGCAGATGGCGCCCTTGAGCACCAGCATGAAACCAAAACAACTCTCGCTGCATTGTTGTTAGCATGCTAATGCTAGCGATCTTTATTATGCTCGTATCTTGCATGTAGATTTACCTGAAATGAGCGTGATCTAGAAACACAGTTAAGCAGTGAGTACAGTATGTTATTCTTCTTTTCTCTAGTCCCTCAATTAAACAACTTTTATACACGAGGGGAGGAGTCAGCCGGCTGTCCTGCCGATGTAAACAAACTGAAGATAGGACTCTGAAAACTCTGAAAACATCACAGACAGTGGGACTCGGGTGTTACACCCATTGTAGACAGTCATGACTCACAGAGTTATTTTCAGAGGATATACTTGATTTATATTACATTTAAGTGTGAAAAATCACAGAAAGACTTTAAAGAACCTCTTTATGTTTGTTATAACTCTTACTCAGAAGAGTCTTTGTCACAAAGGACACCAACAGATTCATTATCATCATCACCAGGCTCTATTTAAAGTCATCTGACTGTCGTATTCTGATAACCTGCTGGTGTTTCAGGACCAGTTTGGATCAGCAGGTCATCAAACATTAAAGATCAATCAGAGTAGAATCAATTCAAAGAGATCTCTAAGAGACCGGCTCACCTCATGGAGACAGAACATGGTTTCAAATACGTCCTTTTTCAACAGTTCCTCAAAGTTCTCTGAGGGAATAAAAGCATGTCTGCTATTTGTCCAGAATCACCTCCTGTATCAATAATCACTATTCAGAAGAATAACCAACAGAATAACTCCTCACACTCACCTCCTGTGTTGATGAAGGTGTGATGAAGAATAAAATTCACGATTCGAATTCTGGAGAAGAAATACAACGTTTAAATTAGGTTAGTTAAATGTTTTATAGGCTGAGAATGATAGATAGACAGATAGATAGACAGATAGGATGAAATATAGAGAGATAGATAGATAGATAGATAGATATTTTATTGATCCCGAGGGAAATTCAAAGCATCCAGTAGCAGGTTACAAAGCCGTACATGACATGAAACATTTGTTACAAATTAACCACAAAACCGACGCCCCCCCCCCCCCAATACATATATATTAACCCGGAAAAAATATTTAAAGAATACCCCTAAAAACAAAACAAAAAACAGACATTAAATAACAACGGTTTATATGAGGTGTATTGTCTGCACACATGTTTCCTGAAGAATAAAACACTTCTAATTGAAGTGAATCAGGGTTTCTGTCACAAGAAAAGTACCCGGATGGTACGGCTCATCAACACATGAGTATGTGTTGATGAGCCGTACCATCCGGGTACTTTACCCAAAAGTTAAGTGACAGGTATTACCTTTAAGTGTGAAAATAGCTTTTTTGTTGCATTGCTACCAGTGTTTTATCATCTACCGCCAGTACCCTCAGATGGCTGGTTATTGATAGAGACATTTCATTTCTCTCATCAATCACATCTGTGGGCGTGGTTCTGAAGTGTAGGCATTAATGATGATGTTCAGGTGTGAATGGCTGTTTAATCTGTGTGCAGATAATTCAGAGCTGCATTTTATGTAATAGGACCGCTGATTCTCATGTTTCAGAATCAGTGTTTAACCTCACACAGACTCCCAATCAATACAGTTTAATACAGAACACTTACAATAGCTAGAAGTGTAAACATGGAGGTGACACATTTACAAAAATTGGCACAATGGAGAAGAACATGCACAACTGGTTTTAGTGTCCATCAGTATGAACTTAAATAATTCATATTCACACAGCGCTGACACAGCAGAGGGATTATCTTGGGATGTCTTACCTCTGTGGTCACATGCTGGGGATCAAAGTCCTGACCATCCGGTTAAGAAGACAGCCCATTCTACCACTGAGCCACAGCCACGCCAACAGCCGTTTGTTTGTGTTTATATGTGTATGTATGTATGTATGTATGGGTGTATGTTACCTGGTTGCCTGGTTGACGGCCCCCTTCACGTCTCCACACCAGTTACAGGAGTCAGAAACCTTGAGCAGGTACTGGTAGTCCTGAAATGTCTCAAGAGGAGCACGGATCCCAAAAAAGACTTTGTCATCGTGAGCGATTTCCTGAAACACATTCAAGGAAACATCATGACACTGGAGGTTCATCCCAGATCTCTTCAGTCCATATTTCCTCTCTCCTTACTCAAAACATGACAGACTGTCACATAGCTCTTATTTCTGAACTGGGGGGGGGGATAAGGGAGAATAAACAACACAGACATCCCCCTGATTGGACAACGCAGCACATCAGACTTCCATGAAACCTCCCAACATCAAAACAGTATAATAACAGCTACAACATGGACCTTAAAACAGACACTAACGTATGCCTTAGACTTTAAATACACTCCAGTTCCTAATAGGGACGGGTACGATCACTCGAGTACTTGTTGACACCTTTAAAGTCATGTCTGGAAGTTAGGGATGTAAAGATATCAAAATCTCAAGATACAATAATATCACAATAACAGGTCAACGGATGATATTTATTTCTTTTAATAGTAGACTTGGAAAAAATGCCATTTCTTAAACCCCATATCTCATCCCCCACCTCAAGGTGAGATGAGTCAAATGAACTTTTATAAAACAAAATAATTGCACCAGCTAGACCAAGCAAAACAAGTCATCCTCACAGTATATCATCTAATATATGTTTTAAAAAGATGGTGTTAGGAACAAATATTGAGCAGAACTGTTATTAGATTAAAATGATAAGAGGTGCGTTAGGTTTAGAGAGGGAGGGGGCAGACTCACAGTGACAGTCATGTTCTTCTTCTGAAGCTGCTGGATGAAGGCTCTCTGTCTCTGAGCTCTCTGGTCTGAGTCATCTTCCACTTTGTGAGCCACCAGGACGTAGTCGAACGTCCTGTGAGTGGGCTGCCAACAACAAAAACACCTTTACTCTGATGTTCAGCAGCTCAATCAGAGGTACACACTTAACAAACAGTAATCACATTGGTTAAAGTTTATGAAAGAAGATATAAGCCATATGGTAAAAACATATAGCCCCGTTTCCACCAAACGGTCTGGTTTGGTTCAGTACAGTGTGGTACAGTTCAGTACGGTAAACCCTGAACTTGATTGCGTTTCCACAGCCAATCGTACCCTTATTTGGTAAACTGAGTGTAATCCAGATGGAGATGGCTGCGTCAGCTACAGTATGTAACAGTGTGACATCATAGCAGCCCAACACAGTGTAAGTGTTAAGTTACACGTTCAAGAAGAACAGGGACACAGTAAACAAGAGACCCTTTAGGGTCGGATCGGTACCCTTGGCACCCCAAAAGTAGGACAGTACAGATCCCTAATTTTGTTACCATTACCAGTACCATGGGGGCGGCAGTAGCTCAGTCTGTAGGGACTTGGGTTGGGAATTGGGGTTGGGTTGCTGACCAAGTCTGGAAATTGGTCGGGTAGCTGGAGAGGTGCCAGTCCACTTCCTGAGCAATGCTGAGGTGCCCTTGAGCAAGGCACCAAACCCCAAAACTGGTCTGGGCAGCCCCCTCACTCTGAGACCTCTCCATTAGTGCATGTCCATAGGATCCTGTTTGTGCATGTGTGTGTATTTCAGCCTGTGTGTGTAGCATGTTCACTAGACAAGAGTGTAAAATCGAAATTCCCCTTGCGGAATCAATAAAGGATAAATTATAATAATTATAACTTTTGATGTGGGAATTACCTATAGATGGGTACCGAACTGTAACCGGACCGCTCGGTGTAAACAGGTTCTAGTTAACATGAGACATATGGGTGCGTGCAGACAGCTAGAAGCCGGGAAAGTGTGTGTGTCCAGTCAGTCATTTAAGTATGAATGTAGGGCCGCTGGTTGGTCTATTGGTTAGTCCGCAAGCCCCACGTACAGAGTCTATAGTTGAAAATATTTAAACTTTTCCGAAAGGCGCTGTTGACATCAGCGGCGCTCATTTCCAAATGTACGATATTCCCTGTGTTTTCACTACCTACCTACAGATCATGTCTCGTAACCATATGCTCTCTGCTCTGTGCCTGATCTCAAATATAAATCATGCAGTAAAAAGTAACTTAGCAGTGTCGCTTATACAGCGCCTGTTGTCAACAGACTGTTGTCATGGAGACAGGACGGATATGCAGCACTTTTCTTCTCAGCGCTCACTCTTCTTCTCAACTTTTCATGCAAAGACTCCCGAGCGCACAGCCAGCGCTTTACTGCCTAACATTTAAACATCTTTCATTTTTTTATTTTTCTAAACACCTTGGTTTGGTCTTTCTGTGTTTGTGTCAGTCTTTGAGTGGTGGTTTGGAGCTCACATCCAACAGTCAGATCTAATTATCTTAAAGATTCTGCATAATACTAAACATTTCCAAGCAGAACATTTTGACAGCCTCATGCTCATGATGTTTCTCTTTCTACACAAAGTGGACAGAGTATGTGGACACTGTTCACTTTGTCACCCTGTTACACCTGTGCTGGTGCTGAGAGGGCGGATGGTAAACACGTCATACATGTTGCAGGACAGAAACAGTGAGCTCACGTCAGACACACACTGCCTGTTGGTTTCAGTAAACATTCATGTAAATGAGACAGATCTGTGTTTGAACAGTGTGTGTCTAAACTTAAAGTTTCTCATCGTGTCTGACTCTTTTACATCTTTTATGTCTATGAAGAAGAGATTGTTAATGTGCAGTTTCTGTGTTCATGTCCGACGGCTCACGGTTTATCTGCTCTGAAGAGTCAAATGATGCTTTGATACGAGCAGATAAAACATGTTCTGTGTTTGCATCATGATGAGTCCCTGAACACCTCTCTGTTCCTGTATGACAAAACCAAACACACTCACCGTAGAAGGAAGCAAAGGTTCAGAGCTGTAATCGTCCTTCTGTCTGTCCCACAGCTCAATGTTGTCCTGCAACACACACACACACACACACACACACACACACACACACACACACACACACACACACACACACACACACACACACACAGTGTGTGTATTTACATGTGATGAGTAGTATCAGTTACATCCTCTCAGAATACTTTTAACAGATGTAAATACACAAATAGCAACACAAATCTATGTAAATTGTGACATGACATCATGCAGAGACGTCGGGTGGTGAAAACTTATGCAGAGCTGGTCCTTCAACCTAGTGGACTTTAAATGCTTGATCAGGGCAGGTTAAGTTTATGAATGCCTCACTGTTTAAGCTCTGGTTTCAACGTAAACCTGTTAGAGTTTCATTGACCATCTCCTCTTGGGTCGGTTATTCTGTGTTTTATTGAATCTTAAAACACGTTTCTCCAGTTGCTTCTACCAGACGGACCAGTCAGTGCTGAGTGATCTCTAGATACCGAATATCACTGACAAGGAAAATGAACCGGCACAGTTTGAGCTAGGTGTTTCTTATAACCTCAAAACAAAGTGTGATAATAATACACATGTAAAGACATTCAGCTCAGCAGGTGACGAGTCAAACAGTAAAACTTGATCGGGTGTGTTTGTCATTCAGCGTTTCTCAGGTCGGATTCAGGAGCACATTTTAAAAGTATTTGTGTCGTGCTAACTCTGCAGGTCCTGACATGATCTCTGCCGTGTTGTGTTGACTGCCTTCTGTGTTGTGTTCACTGTCTGGTGATTTTTTTCTCTGTTGGGTCTTTCCCTGCAGGTTCATATCAACACAGATAATCAGATATGTGATGATCTACTTTTAGATTCCTAGTCAACCTTCATCAGGGTGTGACCCTGACTGCTTCAACTGACACACAAACACACAAAGTCAAGCAGTCACAATAAACACACACTATTTATATCAGTAACAAAGAGTCTCTTTATACTTTACATGATTTCAAACAACAACTGATCGGTCACTAAATATTCATTAACTGCAGATCACCTCTGCTTCAGTGTTAACATGATACAATAACCTCATGAGTCATTATATTCATTGTTCTCTTTGAGTTCCCTATATGACCTGTGTGTGTGGAGGTGTTTGGAAAACCAACACTATTCAAGTTACAGAAGTAATGTACTCAAACTACTATGAACGCTACAACGCACTTTTTATTCATTTATGGGCTCTCAAGTTTTATGATTCAGTTGACTGCACAGATCATTTACAAAGTCCAACATACTGTATCTTATTTTCTATTCAGAGGTTGTTCAAAATCAGGGGGGAAAAAATGACACGGTCAAATTTAGAGGAACATTTTGTAGCCGTAAAAAGAAGTCAACTTTTGGAAGAGCTCTGAGAAAGAGTTAAAAATATGTAGTTCACTTTGTGTATCAAGAATGTTCAAAAGTCAGGTGAAAAACAATAAAGATGAGATATGATCATCAGTTCATTACAAATGTTTAAACACTTGAGTCGTTTTTTGTACTTCTTACTTGTTCAATGAAATAATAATGTTTGGTGTTTTTGGAACATCTTTTTGGTTTTCTTTTTCTATGGAAAGATTGTTTTGATGTTATTTATACTAACTAGTTTAAAGGTCTGCCTATATATGTTCTGTAAAGGAGGTAGTATAATAAGCTTAAGTTTCAGTCTGTATATTATTCATTGATTAATATATTTGTTAATTCTTTATTTAATCCATAAATTCACTTGTATTTTTTGTTCATAGAACTTCAATGAGATTTCTTGTTTTTCGAGGAGATAAATTGTTCATGCAGATCGAAATGAAAGTCTACGTCTCTGTATTTTACATCAGACAAAACAACACCCTGGAAATGTACAACTTTAATGACCAAAACTAGAATCAATAACCAAATAAATCTATCAGAAAACCAATGAATATGACTGCTTTTAAGAATTGTTTAGAGATGAATAAAAAACATGTATTTGCCTATGTAATTATAGTATAATCATAAAGCCTCCTGTCAGATGATGAAGGTTTACAGGTAAAGAAATGAGGAGGGGAAGCTGATCTCAGGTCAGCTTCATGTATGTAGTGTAAACAGTTTACATACATTATTCACAAACACATTGTTTAGGATATTACATTGCAATGCATCTCTCCTAATGTGTTTATTGCAGTTTATGTGATACATTATCTAAACTCTTTTATTTGTTTCCCTCTGTCTGTTTACTGTTTACTTACAGTATTACTACAGCACAACTTCAAAAATGATGAATAGCTGAAGAATAGTTTAAAGTGCATCTACATGAAAGGCAGTGAAAGTCCAGAGTTCACTTCAGTACATTAGATTATATTCTCTTCAACATTAAACTGTATTTTGCACTAAATATAACAGCACACTGATGAGAAGGTTAGCAGTTAGCTTAGGTGTGTGTGTGTGTGTGTGTGTGTGTGTGTGTGTGTGTGTGTGTGTGTGCGTGCGTGCGTGTGTGTGTGTGTGTGTTTACCTGAGCGCTCTTGAAGAACATGTTGCGTCTGTTTCCGCTGTTGGAGTGAGAGAACATGTCTCGGAGTGTCGTCCTCTTTAAATCCATCCATCAATCATCCAATCTCTCGTTTCTGATAATCAATAACTCGGAATCCGCGCGACACTTCCGCATTTCTCTACAGCCTGCCGCTCCGTTTGTGAGCAGGGCAGGTAAAGGTGTGCCGTGTCACCTGTGGCCGCCGACGTCATCGTTCACAAGACACAAGACAAGCAAAAAAATTGCTGCATTTAAGTTCCACAAAAAGCTGGGGAAAAATAACGTCTTCATATTTAGCATTTATTAAAAAGAATAAAAATGTATTTATTAATGACTTTGTAAATAAAACATTAAACAATGAGTAGCCGACCTGCTGTTTAGAGAAAGTGTTAGGAGACAGGTTGTTTCTATACAAGGGTAACTACATGAGGAGGTTTTTAAAAAAAATTAAATACTTTATTTATAGATTTTGTTTTACAATACAGACATACAAGATGGACAAGAACACCCAGTAGTATCACACAACAAGAGAGGCAAGGGGCACACCTCTAGATGTCCAAAGCTGAAAGCAAAAAGTAATTCAAAAAGAGACTGCCCCTCTTTTAAAAAACGGTCCTGGGTAGAAAAAAAACAAAAACACAAAACAAAAACAAAAAAAACACACACATATGGGTGGGAGTCAGTCAGAATCATCAGTCAGTATGCCAAATAAGAAAGAGTTTGCACAGAATATAGACATAACATAGCAGCACAGACCATAATGAATACATTTAAGTTTTATCCAACAACGTCAGAAAGGGTTTCCACACCTTTCATATTTTTCATTTCATATTTCATATTTAATTTATTTTCTCATTTCAGTGTATGGTTTCAACACAATAAAACACAACATGAAGTATTTTCTCATAATACTGAAACACTGTTCATGAGCAAACAGGAGCTGGAAGAATAAAACTTATAATACCTGCCCCTTTCCTAATAACACAAGATACTGTTTAACAGAATAAGATGGCTAACCTGTTGTTTTCTCTTTCTTTCACAAAACAAAAAATAGATCAACAATATAGAAACAATCAAATACAATCAGTTAGATTAACTCAAAACATTCATCATTTCCCAGAATCTTTTCTTTATACATTCTTTTAAATTGAATGATACTTTTCAATACTTTACACTCATGTATGTATTCATGTGTTCACTTACATTCATTTATATTGTCTTTCAAGTTTTCATTTGCATGTTTGCATTCATGTTGATTCTTGTTTACATTTACACACTCATTCATGTTCACACTCGTGTGATGATTCTGTTAGGTTTTGGTTTTGCTGTAGGGTTTTTTGTATTTGTTCTCACTCTCCTTCTCCTTCTCCCCTTTCTGTTTTCTTTCTCCTGCAGGTATGTGTGTGGCAGGGGGCGTGGCTGGCTTCTCCACTCAGCAACAGACGAGGCACACCTGGCTCCACTCAACTATCATCATCTTGTCTTTAAAATTCTGGTCTTTACTCCACTACTCTGCCAGATAATTCCGTGTTGTTCGGTAGTGTCTCTCAGTGATTATTTCCTGTGAATTATTGAGCTGCTTATTTTCACAGTATATCTTTGTGCTTTGGATGTGTTTTTTTTGTTCTTAACTGGGCGGCAGTATCTCAGTCTGTAGGGACTTGGGTTGGGAACTGGAGGGTTGCCGGTTCAAGTCCCGGTGTGGACCAAATATGGAAGTTGGTCTGGTAGCTGGAGAGGTGCCAGATCACCTTCTGAGCACTGCTAAGGTGCCCTTGAGCAAGGCACCAAAAACCCCTCCCCACCACCAGCTCAGGAGCGCCTGCTGTGAGCAGCTCCGTCACTCTGACATCTCTCCCTTAGTGTATGTTCATAGGATCCTGTTTGTGCATGTGTGTATTTCGGCCTATGTGTGACTTACAGAGTTTAAAAACAGAATTTCCACTTGCGGGGATCAATAAAGTAAATCTTAATCTTAATCTTTTCTTGTGCTCAGGTACTCCAGTGTGCCTCACCGTTCTCAAGTTGCTTCGCCTGACTTTCCTGCATCACCTTGTTTATTATTTTTCTGGCCAGCCAGCTCCCTGCCTTCACTGCCTGCTCTTTTTGAACATTAAACAGGTTTTTTTGTTACATTGTATATCTGTGTCAGTCTCTGCTTTGGGGTTTTGATTTAAACTGAAACCATAACGTCGTGTGTGTTATGTGTTCATTCATGTTATCATTCATGGTTACACTACTTGTGTGTATTCATGTGTTTATTCTGGAGTCCTTTAAAAACTCCAGCCTGCTCCTGTGACCACATTGCCCCTCTACTTTAGGGTCTCACTGATCTGCTCCACCCCTACACCCCTTCCTGCTGGCTCTGCTCCTCTGATGCTAACCTCCTCTATCTAACACTCAGGAGGAGCTAGCAGCGAGATAAAGGCGACAGAGCCTTTACAATATGCTTCCCTCTCCCTCTTGAACTTTCTCCCAAAATATTTCAGAGACTGAACTGACCTGCCAAGCTATAAAGCACTGATCAGAACCCACCCTCTCCATGGGGGGACTAAAGAAGAAGATCTGTTGAGCTCATTACTTTTTATCCTAGCAATAGAACCACTCTCCATTGCCCTCAAGTGCAAAAACGATATACAAGGTATAACAGGTGGTGGGGTCATGCATAGTCTCACTTAACTGTGGGAAGAATTGGGAGACTATCAGGATACAAACTTAATTTAAAGGCTTTTATCACACTTAAATATAATAGAAATCAAGTATATCCTCTGAAAATAACTCTGTGAGTCATGACTGTCTACAATGGGTGTAACACCAGAGTCCCACTGTCTGTGATGTTTTCAGAGTTTTCAGAGTCCTATCTTCACTTTGTTTACATCGCCTGGATGGCCGGCTGACTCCTCCCCTCACGTATAAAAGTTGTTTAATTGAGGGACTAGAGAAAAGAAGAATAACATACTGTACTCACTGCTTAACTGTGTTTCTAGATCACGCTCATTTCAGGTAAATCTACATGCAGCGTGAAGATACGAGCATAATAAAGATCGCTAGCATTAGCATGCCAACACAACAATGCAGCGAGAGTTGTTTTGGTTTCATGCTGGTGCTCAAGGGTGACATCTGCTGGATGAAAAAATCACATATAAAGCCTTTAAACAAAAGTGAGTACTTCCCCATCAACAACAAAGCTGAAGAATATTCCAATCTGCCATTTAACCTTACAGCTCACTCTTTTGGAACAGTGCAAAAAGAACATTGCACAATGTTTATTTAACCTTTATCTCTTATTGGTAGAACAAATTCTGTGATGAACATTGTGCCAAAATTCTTATATTTGTTTTAAGCCATAGCTACCTTCAAAACACTAAAATCTTTCAGAACTATAAACAGATGATCTCTTTTTTTGGCACAAAGAAACCCGCCTGCATAAGAAAATGATTTATGGAAAGAAAAAAACAGAACGGATGGGCTCTCCCTACCAAACCTGTGCTCATATTGTTAGGCTGCAAATGTGAGAGGTATATCCCTGTAGTTAAAGGACTGGATTGGTATAAGACCCCTGCGTGGCTCCAGATTGAAATAAACACAAGCAATCCACACTCTCTCCCTGCTCTGCGATGTGAATCCTTACCTTCAGAAGAATGTCAATGATGGAAATGTAACTGTAACTCAGTCATTATGTCTGTTTGTATGCATTTGTCTGTGCAAGAAAATGATTAGATTTTTGGATGTTGGGTTGTTTGTCCTTAATGTTGCACTTATTTAACAGTTAGTGTTTAGTGTTTTGTTCTGTTATATACAACCTGTTAATAAGTAAAGTCTTAAAAGAAACACCTTTCACAATGATCCTCTTTGTAAAAAAATAAAGAAAAAGTCCTGTTTCCTTTTTATTGATTTTGTTTCCTTTTTATTATGTGACTGTGAAGTGTCGGAGTATTTTTAAAAGCTCTATCAAGTAAACAATTATTATTTGTAATATTTATATGTTGATTCATGTTATCAATCATGTTCAAACATGTTTACATTGATGTGTTTTATCATAATGAAGAATATCCTGTCCTTGGTTAAATGAGTTGGAGGGATCGTACCAACTGGACAGAAGAACACAGAGAAAAGAGATCCAGTGAAAGTTCAATGTATTTTATTTCTTTGAATAGTTAAACTGGTTTCTCTGGTAACAAAAGAAAGTGGTAGCAAAGAATGTTCCATAAAGATATTGATATCTAAACCATACAGGTAAATGATCATAAACATTCTTTAGTCATCTAAAAAATGAGCGTATAACTTTACCACAATTATGACTAAAATGCAGTGAACACTGTACCAACATATTTTAAAGGAAACTTTAAAGACACAGTTTAAACTATGGAGGTGATGAGTCCTCCACATGCTGCAGCCGAAGCTTCAGGAGTGACACGTTCAGTCTCAGGCTTACTTCAATCAATCTTAATTTGTATGGCACCAATATATAACAAATGTATATAAGGACACTTTACAAGAAGCATTTAAAAGACCTTACGTTTTGTTTTGTAATATTACAAAGAGGAGGTAAAAGACCTTACTCATTGTTACTGTATGTTACAAAGACCCAATGTTAATCCATCATGAGCACAGAGCTAAGCAACATTTAGCAAACAGTGGCAAGAAATAACTTCCTTTTAAGAGGCAGGCGTCTCCAGACTTATGATGAACAGCCATCTGACGAAACTGCACCGGGCTTGAAAAATGTCTCAATGTTTGTCTATTTTTAAAGATACAAAATGTTATCAGATGATGAAACCCTCCTCTGCAGTGGATGTAAAACTAGTTTATCTTAAGAGACACTTTTCTTTAAACAGAGTTTGGGTTGAGCAGGAGAAGTGTGCAGCTCATGAGCTTTCAGGACAAACTGACATGTGGAGCTGATTAAAGACGCACGATAGTGAACCTCAGGGTCCGATGTTTAACATAGCCATTTCGCTGATGTGAAACCAATGATTTTTTCAAGACTACTTTTGGTGTAAGACTCTCACAATGCCAACTTTTTCTCTATGACCAAGAAAACAAATGCGGGTGACTTCCTCCTCCTAACTAAAAACACCTTCTCTGAAATAGTAGTTATTTGTACATTTATGACACAACAGATAAACATCGACTCATGCCACATTATTTGCTGATGAGCCGTTTATGACGTTAAAAAGATGCATCCCTAGAGCTAACATTAGCTTTGATTGGACTTGGGAGCAGCTTCTGAAGGAGGGGATGTCGTCTTGTTTGAGTGTCATGTTGGTGTGTAATAATCACCCTGTGTGCATCATTCACGCTTGTGTTTATTCTGAACACATCAAAGAAATTACAGATATTTGTGCTGACTGACGCTTTCAGACTTGGTGACATCACAGCTGGGTGGGGCTACAGGTAAGACAGGATTCATTCTTGACTCTGCCCACACAGTCATCGGTGCAGCAGGTAAACCCGATTGATCAATGAATGAGATCATTTAGAGGAGAACAACATAACAACAGCAGAGTTTTATATTTCAGAGAGAGAGCTCTGTTCAGTACTCCTCCTTCACTGAACTCCTCCTGTAGTTCTTACTGCTCATCCTCCTGAAGGAGGTGAACACAGGACCAGACTCCACTTTCTCCTCTTCCTCCTCCTCCTCCTTTTCTCTCTGTCTCTGTCCCTGCTCCTCCTCCATTGTTTGATTCTCAGCGTGTTTTTCCTCCACCTCTGTTCTCCTTTCTCCAGTCTTCTGTGTCTCCCTGCCCTCCACCTCCTCTTCCTGCAGATGACTAAGAAGCGTCTCCTTCTCTCTGCTCCTCACCATAGGTTGTTCTCTTCGGCCTGCTGGGTCTGCTGAAGATCATCTTTTTCTGGAGGTTACAGGGGAAGGAGTCACTGCAGCTGCGCTCTGCCTCCTCCTCCTCTTTCTGCTTCCTGTCCTCCTCCTTCCGCTCCTGCAGAGTGGACAGGAAGCTGAGGGCAGCCCTGGTGTTACCTTGGTCACTTGTCTCACTGGTGTCCTCCAGGCTGTAGTGGGTCCAGCGCTCTGGATTAAGCAGGTAGTCAGGGGTTCCCCTCCTCTTGACCGGGTTGGGGGGCTCAGTGGAGGCTGGGTAGTTTTCCTGCTGGGGGCGGAGCCTGAGGCCTAGCAAAAACGCCATCTTTCTGCTGGTTCACAGAGGAGGAGGAAGAAGAGGAAGAAGAGGAGGGCAGGAGGAGGTGGAGGAGGGGGCCGGGCCACATTGTCCAGACAGTCAAAGATGCTTTGGGAGCGGTTGGAGAAGGCTGAGCTACCTCCTCTCAGACTGAACTGAGCCTGATTTCTGAGGCCAGCAGGAGCACAGCACACCTCTTCATTATCATCATCATCATCACTGTGGTCAAGCTCAGGGTCAAACGGCGCCATGGTGGGTCTCTCCTCAGGCTCAGAGTCATCACTGACTGACAGCTCGTCTTCATCGTCTCCGAGGTCAACACCTTTTTTTTTTTGATCACACATCTCAGCACGACACAGCAGCAGGCTGAGAAAGGGGGAAGACAAGGATGAGAAGAAGCAGACGAGGAGAGAGATAGAAAGAGGTGAAGGG